TACATGAATTTATTGGTCTAGCTAGTTAAGTCTCATTGTAACAGGCTAGGTAGAAAATAAAATCCAAATTTAATCACCTTGGTATGCAGAAAAATGGCCCTTCAATGATGTCCACATCCTGATGTCCACATATTTACAGGACTTGTAAATATGTCACCTTACACAGCAAAAGGGACTGGATGCAATTATATTAGGAACTTTGAGATGAGATTATCCTGGATTATCCAGCAGACCCAATGTAACCACAAGGGCCCTTAGAGGGAGGCAAGGTGGTCAGAGTCAGAAAAGGAGATGTGATGGCAGAAGCAGAGATCAGAGAAGAAAGATCTGAAGATGCTACACACTGCCAGCTTTGAAAATGGGGGAGGGAACCATGAGTCAAGGAATGCAGGTCACCTCTAGAAGCTGGAAAATGCAAGGAAAAGGATTCTCCCTGGAGCCTCCAAAAAGGAATTCAGCTCTGCTGACACTTTGATTTTAGCCAGTAAGAACTACTTTGTTCTTCTGAACTCCAAAACTAAAAGATAATAAATCTCTGTAGTTTTAAGCCATCAAATTTTGGTAATTTGTTAAAGCAGCAAAAGGAAACTAATGCAATGCCTAAATAATATCTTGTTAGCCAACTATGGAAATCAAAACTTACCTTCTAAAAGAGAATGATCTCGAACAGCTTCTGCAGCTAATACAGACTTCCCACAACCGGCCATTCCATATATGGTGACCCATCCCGGTTCACCACTCAGTTTGAAGAGCTTCTGCTGAATTGCATGCACCAGCTTCTTCCTAGTAACAAAAACAACGGGCCTCTGTGGTACTCCACCTTCACACAGGACTGTCCTTACTGAAATCCAAAACAAAAGAAGCATAAATGAAGAAAACTTTGAAATGGTTACTCAAATAATAAAAAAATAAAAACCAAAAAGAGCAAGGCTGAGACCTTAGCCTCAGAATTTCCAAGAGAAGAAAATGTAGCTAGCATAGTAACTCCAACTTTCTGATTTCTTACAACACCCAGAACAAAAGCAAACATACACCTTTTAAGATGACTACAATGAAAATCTCCATCTATATCTGCTCTTACTCATCCTATTCCTCCCTGACTCTCCAATCTTTTTCTCATATTGCAGACTGAGTAGGAGAGTGTAAAGGGAAGAATATGGAATTGCTTTCAAGAGCATAGATTTCCAAAGATTCTTCTTCTTCCCTATGCTTGAACTCAATAAACACAAAACTGGAGAACTTAAAGTCTTATAAATTGTCCTATTACCTCTAAAAATTAGAGGATGTACATTATTACTTCAGCAGTAAGTAGTTCACTGGACAAGAAAATGTGAGAGGTTAACATGCAAATAAAAATATTTAAATTCGAAAACAACTGTAAGTTTTTCATATGTATTTTTCAGTGAACTGATCAGTCTCTTTAGCAGGCTCCATCTGCAATAAGACAAAACTGCAGCAATGTAGCTATTGTGATAGAAGGTATCATGGATACAAACCATATGAAGTTATTCCACCAACTGAATCTTTGCCATTGGAAGAAGAGATAACAGGAATGCCAGCATGGAGAAGGGCAGCAAGATCTTTATACCCTTCATGTAGTAGAGCATTGTAGAATGATACGTAGGAATAGTTATCTTTTTTAAGTATCATTTTAATTAGCATAGCTGCTCGTTGCTGTTGGGTGGGCTAAAAAAAAAAAAAAGTTTAGTATACTACAAATATATCTGCAACATAAATTAGTGGAGACCAGTACAAATTTTGAAACAAATCCTAAAAATTTTTTAAGAAACAGACTGCCTCAGAGGCCTTTACCTCATTTTTTACTTTTTCCTCCTCTGATACTGTTAAAACTCCATTACTAATCATGTGATCCATGATGTACGATGTTTTGATGTCCCTTTCCAGGGCTTCTCTATGTTGAAGTAAACAATTTCGAGCTTTTGCATCCATCGTCCCTCAAATTTTTCTCTCTTTGAGCTGTCAACCATGAGCTATAGGCAAAACATCAAAACATTTGTCAAGCCAATAAAGATATGGAAAGATGTATAACTCCACTGGTAATGTAAAAATGTAAAGAAAATAAGTTTTTTTTCAAAGATTTTTAAAAATAAAATCCAATGCATTCAAAAATGTGAGAAAAATGAGTATTCTTATAAACTGCTTGAGGAAAGTCCAAAGTGGATGCAACTTTTCTGGAAGGCAAGACATAGAAATGTTTAAGCATTCTCTTCAACCCAGAAATCCCACTTCTAGGAATTTATCTCAAAGAGATATTCATATATGTATACAAGCTATCCATAAAAAGAGTTAACAGAGTATTTAGGTAAGATAAAAAATATTAAAACAACCTAAATGCCCATCATTCTAAGTATGGATTAAAAAAATCAGAGTATGCATATAGACATGGAATATTATACAGCCATTTAAAATGAAGACATATATCCATGTACTGTCATCAAAAGATGCTCATGATACCTTGCTGATTGAAAATATTTTAAATATAATCCCACCTATAGCACAAAGTATGTATTGGTCTCATATAAATGCATAGTGAGATGTTTAGAAGTTTGTTCAGCAAAATGTTTGGGTTACTTCCAAGTAGCAAGCTCTAGGGGATTTCCCTTTTTTGTTCTTTTCTGTACTGTCTTAATTTTTTTCAATACATGTTATCAGTTGCACAATTTAAAAACTTCCTTTAAAATTTTATAAACAGTGATCATACTTAAGTCCTAATATTTATAAACTTATTGATTGCTTTATCCATCCTAAGACTAAATAGAGCATTCTTGGTATTGAGCATTAGTTCTCATTTAAGATGGGTGTCAGCTCTTGGTCTTCATTGGTAAACACATTTCTCATATACTTACTCCACTAATGTTTCAGCTGAGCTGCTAAGGATGACAAAGCAACAGAAAATACTCTCTGATGTCATTTCTTAGATTAGGAGGACACAAGACAGAATAATATTCTTTTTACTATTTTAGTCTAAGTTCCTACCAACTTTATTTCAAATATAATGCAACTTTTTCCATCACAATGTTTGCAAGTTTTTAAAACATTAACAGAACTCAAGCTAATGTATTACAGTATCTAAATATGTTTATTAATTTGTTCCTTCAATAAACAACTGAGCCCATCCTACGTGTCAGGCTCCGAAGCTACAGAGAAAATTAAATCATACCCCTGAAGGAATTCACAATCTGGTAGGAGAGAAAGAGATACTTAGGGGGAGGGTATAGCTCAGTGGCAGAGTGTGCCTTTAGCATGCATGAGGTCCTGGGTTCAATCCCCAGAACCTCCATTAAAATAAACAAATAAACCTAATTGCCTCCTCCCATAAATACATAAATAAAAGATACAGTAAAATTCTAAAAAGAGATAATTAGAATGTTATGTCCTAAGTGCAAAAAGAGAGCTGAACACAAGTAATTTCGAGCATACAGGAGTAATTATTAAGCTTCAATAATGACCATAAAAAGTGCCACCAAATGTGTCACTTGGAAACACAGGTAAGCAGACCATTTGCCTATGCTTGTTAAGGTTCACAAAATGGCATGAAACTGATAAAGGAAAAGTTATGATCAGAATCAAGGCCATGCTAATTTTTAAATGTTAATAATGTTTTATGACCTCAAAGTAAACAACATTTCCTTTAATTTTCCAGTAGTAAAATTTGATTTCACAAAACAAAAATGAACTTTTTAGGTTATTTGCAATAGCTAAACCAAGAGATACTTTCTGACCATCTGAAATTTATTTCCAATTTTACCTAGCCTTGTTTAAAGACCTAAGTCTTATGCTTTTTAACTCTGCTCAATGAAACATCCTGAACAAGTTCTAGTGTCCTACCTTTTGTAACCACATCAACATGTAAAGTCAGGATTCTTCATAACTGTGAAATATAAAGGACAGTTTGGTCCAGGAAAAACGCAGTATTCGACCACTTCCTCTTTAGATAATTTCTCTTCCTGGTACAGTATCAGAATGCTAAACAATTATTCATTAATCCATAATTCTGAGTCCGTAAACTCGGTTACTGAACCTCCAAAAAACCTGGTTCGGGGAGAAAAGGGAGGCTCAAACTTACCCAAATCCTCGCACCAAGGCCTTCCCTGGGAAGAGCAACCCTGCGGCGACAGATTGGGAAATCAAGTTAGGGGCGAGGGGAGGCAAACGGGGCTTCGGAAAGGAAATTCAGGGTTCGGGGGTCAGCCGCGGGACAAGCCCGGGCCTCACAGGTGCCTCACCTGGGCCTCCGCATCCAGAGTTACCAGAAGACCCCCGGGGACCTCCGACCCGCGGAGAAGTAGGCGTCACCCCGCAGGTGGCCTGCGCAGTTCCAGGGCACCGAGGTGAGAACTCCAACCCAGACACAAAGGAAGGAGGGCGACTTGGCCGGTCACTCCTCCCCTCAGGCTGCAACTGCACGTCCGCGGGACCCCGGCGCCACTCCGGACGCCGCCGCGGCTAATTCAAGTCTTCACGGGTCTCTGACGCCCAGACTCCTCACCTCCGCCTCCCTCACCCCTTCTGCCCAGGAATAAATTAACCGCGCCCGCC